GTTTTTTAATACCAGAGGGAGAGACATTATAAAATACTGATTTAATTTTTTACCATGTTAAGAAATTCAGTTCCCTTACCTGGGCGGGATAGTACTTTGGGAGTAGGGGCGGCAAACTTTTTAATCTGGCACTGCTAATTCGTATTTTTTGCCATTTAAAAAACCAAGCGTATTTGATTCTCGAGAACTGAAAATTTTAATAACAAGGATTTTAATTTCCTCTTTTAAAAAGAGTAGTTCTGGCTTGTTACTCTTTTCATAAGAGTAATTTTCGAAAATTACTCTTATGTAAAGAGGAAATTTAAGCTTGCTCTTTTACAAAAAGTAATTCTGATTTCTTACTCTTTTAAAGGAATTATTCTTGCTTTTAACTATCTTCAAAAGAGTAAATCTGGCTTTTTACTCTTTTCAAAAGAGGATATTTAAGTTCGCTCTTTTGAAAAGAGTAATTTTGGCTTTTTACTTTTTTCAAAGTAGTGAAATTCAAAAATTACTCTTTTGAAAAGAGGGAATCTTAAAAACTACCATTTATAAAGAATAATTTTTTGATATTACCACTTTAAAAAGAGTAATATCGAGGAATTACTCTTTCTAGCGTCTGTTTTTACTTTTTTGGGCTTAGAGCACACACGCACGCGCACACGCGCACACACACACACACACGCACACACACATTTTTAAATTTTAGTTGTATTCTTTAATTTTTTAGTTTGCCTTTCAGAGTTAAATAAATACAAAAGTCATGCACTTTAATGTATAAATACAACTTTACAAATAAAAGACAAATTATGTGGAAATTAAAATTTATTTACTTCAACAAAAATTGATATACGAGAAAACAGTCCCATAAAAAGAAATTGTTTTTTGTATTCAAATGTTCAATTCAATGTATGATAAATTGAAGATCAAATCACGATTTTTATAATCATTTGTGATTAAAAAGATAAAAGATAAAAATTTTTCTATCAATGCCCTAGGAGGTTCAGGAAAAATATTTCTATTTCAAATGTCAATTTATTATTTAATTTTTCGTGAAAAAGAAATTTCAATAATGGCATGGACTGTTACAGATGTGTATTAATTTAAAAAAAAATACCAGCCTTATAACATTGCGTTTACCATTAAATTTAATTAATACAAAAAGTAAGCTCTTAGAATTAGAATCTAAAATAAAAAAACTAAGAGAAGTATATTTGGTCATATGGGACGAGGCTTTTATGATTTCAAAAAAGCCTTAGAAATAGTTAAAAGAACAGTAAGTGATTTATGTAATACTAGTAAGGAGCGGCGTTGGCGCAGTGGTAAGCGTGCTTGCTACTGATACAACGCTGTTCTAGGGGTCATGGGTTCGATTCCCGGTGAGTGCAGATTTTTTTCCAAAACTGTTTTTACCGGAAAAAGTTCCTATGTAACCCCGGCTGTTTCGGAGCGGGTTTTTCTGTGGAATTTTCGTTCAGAGTGATTCCAGGGTTTTTTCCTTGCACCACAGGTCTTCGGGCCTGGGTGAATGCGAAACAGTGTTAGGGCCTACTAGGTAGGGATTAGCGGGACCGATGCCAGGCAGGGATCGCCGGCTTTACCGGCGAGGAGTGGCCCCTGAAACATGGGGCTTCTCCGGGAATGCTAATTAGCCTGGATCCGATGCTTCAAACCCAGGCTACACAGTGGTGAGTTGACCCGATGCACTTCCCTCCGGTGCAGAGAGTGTCAGCTTAACTGACAAGGTGTGTTACACCGGAGATACTTCCACTGTGCCCATGGTATGATTTGTATGGTATCAATTAAAGAGAAGATTTGGGGTAAATGGGTGTGGCAATACACCCCCACACATNAAAAAAAAAAAAAAAAAAAAAAAAAAAAAAAAAAAAAAAAAAAAAAAAAAAAAAAATGTAATACTAGTATCCATTTTGGTGATGAAGTAATTGTTTTGGGAGAAGATATGAGACAGGTTCTTCAAATTTAAAAAACTAGCAATACAAACATCGTACAAAAAAGTATTGAATCACTATATTTTTAAACATTGTTCCGTATTCTATAACGTAACATCAATATTTGCTTAATTTTTTTTTTTTTTTTTTTTACAAAGTAACCGTGACAGACTACTGGCCTGGTCGCCGGGGCCACCCACTCATCGCCTATACATACCCACATGTGGAAGGGTGTATTGCTGCACCTATTTCCAACCGTTTTTACTAATATCATACCTGAATCTGTGGGCACAGTGTGAGTGTCTCCGGTGAAACATCTTGCCAGTAAAGCTAACACTCTCTACATCGATGGTGCATCGGATCCACTCGCCACTGTGTAGGCATTCCTTGGAGAGGACTCCATATTTCAGGACTTCCACTCCTCGCCAGTTGATCAGGCACTCTCTGCCGGAGCATCGAATCCAGGCTAATTAGGATCTTCAGAGAAACCTCATATTTCAGGGACCACTCCTCACCGGTAGGGATAGTGATCCCTGCCTAGCGCATCGGATCCGATAATCCCTACCTACTAACACAGTTTCGCATTTACCCAGCCAGGGTTACATAGGAACTTTTCCCGATTAAAACAGTTTTTGACAAAATCTGCATTCACCGAGAATTGAACCCACGACCCCTAGAACAGCGTTGTATCAGTAACAAGCACGCTTACCACTGAGCCAATGCCACTTCTCAATATTCGTTTAATTAACAGAACATTTTTTAATTTATTATCACTACCTTTTATTTTATACGGAAAACAATTTTCTATAGTCATAGCGTTTTTCATGACTATAAATCAATCTCAATGTCAGAGTTTTAATAATATTAAAATATATTTAATAAAACCACTGTTTTTGCACGGTTAATTATACGTCTTGTTATTAAGATGCAATACTGGGTTTATAGAGCTTCGTTCTTCCTACGGGTCTGGTGACCCCCTTGTTACCTAAGAAATTGTGTCTATACTCATCTCATGTTTAATGAACTTCGTTCTTACCGTGGGTCCCATGACCCATTTATCCCCCCCNCACTAATTTGAGATAAATAAAATAATCTAATTTTTGTACATAAATACTGTTTTATTACATAATAAAGTAAATTTTAATTATTATTGGATTCTGGCCACTTTTATAAAAAAACAGAACTATTCTGTATTATTACACGTAAATATTATTTTTACAAATGCTGTTTTGTTTTATTAAATATTTTCAATTGAAAAAAGTTTCTCTTAAATAACTCAATTACTATGAAAGTTAAAATTTGTAAAATTAAGAAATTAATTTGGAACCTAAATAAGTATGTATTCAAATTATATGTAAGTAGATAAACTATGATGTTCTGCGCCCCCTTCCCCGCTGCCCCCCTGGGTAGTGATGGGGATAGTGCGATACTGCGCCAGGGAGAAGGAAGTACTATAAGATGAGCTATAGACGGGGTCCGAGCGTTATATACATATCTTGCTTCCGGAGTGATTTCTCTTCCTCCTTGTGCTATTAGACAAGGGTTCAAGCGCTCTATGTATGTGTATGTAACTATATATATGAATAAATATTCAACCTCTCACGCATACGCGTGCACCACGCGCGAGCGTAAGCGTGCACCCCCGCCTCGTAAATGTTAAAGAGCTCCTGCAATACTCCTATTAATTTGTTTATAGAGTGTTCAGGTAGCACGTCCTTGAACTACTTTTCAGAGTACACTTCACGTGCATCTTCTGACACTATAGTCGCGTATCGCGCACAAGAACGTACGATCTCAAACAAAGCAGTAATCATGGATGAACAAAATATGGAATGGATTATGTAAGTTGATGCAAGCTGCGAATTTGGAGAAAGAAAGAGTGAAAGAGGACAAAGGTGAGAGGAAAAAAAAATTTATCCAGCGTTGTGCTGATGTAACAGTTTATTAATTAAAATGAAAATTCTGATATTCAAAAAAACTTAAGCTTGAATTCAAAAATTTTAGTGTTAACTTCTTAACTCAACAAGCTGAGCCCTGAGCTCTGAAGCCTTTTAAACAGGTCTAATGAGCCTTATTCTTGAATTTTTTAAGAAACTGGGCTCAAACTACCACTAAATGCATAAAAAGATTTTGAAAAATGATCAAAAGTTTTTTTAAGTTTATCTGCATATAGTGTTCTCATTACAAACATAAGATGTGCCACACTAAACACGCCTCACTAGTTTTGTGAAGATAAAGTTTTACACTTATTTTTGTAAGTATTGGTTTTCATAGCAAAAATTGATTTTACAATTATTATAGTATTGAAAATGAATTTATTATTACGCTTTTTGCGTATCCTGGCATTTCTGTTGGTTTATGTTATTTGGAACAAACTGTATGGTTGCGTTTAACAATTTCTTGATTTTGATAGCTAAGTTTAAGGCAACTTCACTCAAATTGCAAACGGGGTATTTGTTTCATTCAAAAATTTTAGAGCCAATGACAGTGTAAGAATGATGTAAACTTGGAATACTAAAGGCAATTTCATTAAATTTTTACTGTTGGTTAAGTACTATTGACTTTTAACTTAGCATCATATTGGTAATGATCTAAGATTTGCATCAACATATTCCCAAAGTTTAGAAATTATCGTATAGGTATTTTGATCCAAATCAATGAAGAAAAAGTCTACAACTACTCATACAACTGTTTTACCAATGAGTTTCGCATGAAAAAACGAACCTTAAAAACTAATAAGATCTAGACATTTCTGTTATTGGTCTGACTAACTATTATAACGTTAATAAGTAATCAAACTAAACTTAATTTCTACATCTTATCCTAGCAGAACCTTAGATAGTGTACATTAACAGTGTTTGTAGAATTAAATTAGTATGTTTGCATTATAAACTCACACTAGTTGACATATCGTTAAATGTTAGTGTGATCATGAATGTTACCTAGTATAAGAATATTTTTTTAACTTTGAAACATCTTACCACTGTGCATGATAAAATTATCGTTTTCTTCTATTTAATTATTTTCATGACTTTGTTAATTAAGGGTGGTTAATTTTCTTTACTTTTGCAGGGTTCTGAACGTCAGGCTAAATCCAAAACTACTGGTATTCGATTACGAGAAGCAACAAAAATAAATCTTTCGCTGTCGACACTTGGAAATGTTATATCGGCCCTAGTTGATGGACAAAGTTTGCACATACCGTACAGAAATTCAAAACTTACTAGACTCTTGCAAGATTCTCTTGGAGGAAATTCAAAAACTTTAATGGTTTGTGAATAAAAAATAAAATGTTATAGTTTTAGAAATTTGTTATTTTTATAAAAATCACAAATTTTGTTTACTCTCATTAAACTCACTAAGTATCTAGTGTTTCATTTACAACAAGAAACTTGGAATGAAATTATTTTTAATAGTGGTTTAGTCTTTGTAATTCAGTATTTGGTTTTGATCGTAAGTCTGTTCTTTAAGGAGTTTAAATTGAAATAATTTAGGATACTTTCTTTGTTTGCTACGACCTTAAAAGGTATTCTATAAAGAATCTACTGTGTTAGTAAAGCGTGGCATATCAGAAATATTTTTGAGGTGTTATTAATATTCGTATCTCTGAACATATAAGAATTATAATTCCAGTCAAAATTATTAATACTTTATAATTTGCATGAATTTACTTTGAGTGAGACAGAGAAAGAGAGAGACAGAAAAGGAGAGCTGAAGCCCCCTACGACCTCCTAGAATACGACCTCCACTTATCTTGATGTTTCCGAAGATGGCCAAAGTTGGCTGAATAGAGCTGAATTCCTCTCTCAAGCAACCAAGAGGGAATCTAGAAATAGAGCTAATATCTTTTATATCCACATCCAATCATAAAATGTTATAGAAATAAAGTAAACCTAATTTTCAATCATCAAAGTTATAAAGTAAAGACAAAAAATCATCTATTGATAACATGCAAGAAAAGAAATTGAGTCATTGATTTCCATTCACACATAGTATTTAAATGTTTTATTTATTGTAATGTCAAATGGTTGAAGGACTGATATTGTTTTAGCATCGTACGTCTCCGGATAATGCGGAACTTATAAAATTAGTCATTAAACACAAGCTTAACGGTCCTTATTCAGAACACTATTCTCGTTTAATTTATTCTAATCAGAAGTGTACGAAAAATTTTTCAAGACCTCTTACAAACGTGAGAAATTTTGAACTTTATTACAAACAAACGGTTTCCCACAATGAAAAAGAATTAATATCATATCTGATAAATATATTTACGAAACTGAGATCAAAGATAAAATTTTAGTAGATTATTAAATGGTTTTTTGATGATGAAATGTACATGTTATATTAACATTTAATATTGTGCATAAATACAAATCACAATAGTATATTTATTACCTATGGCAGAAAGTACAATTTGCGTGTCTGAAGGGTGTGGTTGTTGTATGTTTCTGCCACAGGTGAGAACAAAATTTTTTGTATCAAGGAGAAAAAGTATGACTTTGCGCCCGTGGGTTCACTTTCCACCCGCCAATTACCTTTCACCCTAGGGTGAGAACGAACTTTGGGTCTGGCAGGACCAGAATGTCTTTTTCTACCCGTAGGCGAAAACTGTGCCGTAAATATTAAAGCACTGCGCTCGAGACACAAAATGGTAGTTTTTGTACCTAGTGAACCTTGTTCTGGTTGGAGGCGCACCAGGTGCAAACCCTATTTTTTCTACTGAGGGCACACTAATTGCTTAAATTTTAAAAAAACGTCCAATGAAAAAAAAAAAAATTTTCCTACTTCAGGTGTCTTTGAGAGGCTGGTGTGTCTTCGGTAGGAAAAGTAGGATTTGCCACATAAGCGTCCCAGAAATGATGTCACTTATCCGACGAAAACTACCATTATGACTACATTTATTACTATAAGATTAGATAACGAAAACTTCTTCACTTCAAAATTTTGATTCTGAAATAATATCCTTGCTAGTTTATTGTATCAACTGCTCAATAATAAATTTTATAGATTTTTGTTAATTTGTATTATTCACACTCATTATATTAACAACGTACGAAAAACGTTAACATTTTTTAAACATTTCTAAAAAAAATTTTTCCATACATTTCTTAAATAAATATGGTGCTACGCAGGATATGATTGTTTTTCCATTGTAACAAAATATTAACTTGCTATGTGTAATTTCACACCAGGGATTACGAGGGCCCTCCGTTGTATACAGTAGCTAATGCATGAGCCATTTTCAATACAATAGAATTAATAAAAGCAATTAGTAAATTATGACTTGCACAATTAATACGTAATAATTATTGATTTTTAAATAACGAATATTATCATATATTTTCTTCCTGGGTTTTAATTACTGAACTTTCCGAAAATTTGTGTAATTTGAGAACATATTTGCATGTGTACGTAACCATCTGTCATTCATTTTTAAATTTCATTTGTTCTGCACATTAAATTTGTTCGATAAAAGGTGTTAGGAGTGCTCAGAGCGAATGTTTTGAATTTATTATCATTTGGAGGAAACACGAAGACCTCAGTATTACGTGTCAGAGACATGATTGCATACACCGTAAAGTGTATAACTCGTCCGAGACGTTTTATATTAAGATTAGAGTTGGCTGCTGGTACTTATGTATTAAGAAAAATGGGATCCAAACTGATAATTAATTTACTTAATAAATTGAGAGTTTCCGCGTCTTATACAGCAGTACAGTTGTTTGAATCGTGCACTGCTCTACATCCTGCCAAACAAATAATTTATGACACTTTTTTACTATTCGTATTTGACAATACAGATCATAATGATCATACGCTTGATGGGCATGACACTTTTTATTTGTTAAGGGGAATATTTATTTATACATCAGATTTGTCTGTAGAATATAAAAGTGGATTAACGATATTGAAAGTGCTTCCAAAATCAAACGTTTGAGCATCAAAAATCAAATTGCCATTAAGCCTTTTGGCAAGTTTATCACAAACGTTTTACAAAACGCTGTACTTACGTCTGTTAAACAATTTCGAATTGGTAATCGACCGCCTATATCTTATTTATACAGTGCTAACATATAGTGGAAGACTTTGAAAGTTTTCAGTATACCAAGCTGGAAAGGTTTCATGGAAGTCTCGACTCATGTTGCGTATGAGAAGTCTCGGATAATCTGCCAACTGTTATTAATCAACTTACATCAGATATAACAACAGTAAACACTGCTTTTTTGCTGCTAAAGAATGTAGAAAGTGAACCAAAATACTTGTTTTGTAACATTTGACCAGCCACTTTATTACAAAGCACGCTGCATAGTAGCTGAAAATAGAGAAGGCAAACTAAAAAATGTTGAAGTTTCGTTGGAAGGTTTTTATAAACTCAAGTCATACTTTGGAGCAATTGGTCATACCATAGTTCGATCTGATTTGGAAGAATTGTGGTCCTCCATTTATGCTGTTGGGTTATCCAAGAAGATGATGACTGGGCATGCTTTTGTAAGAGCTTTGCGAGCTCACACTTTATTTTTTACGGCCATTGGGATTCATAAATATAAAAGCATAGAAACTACTGAAGAGGAAAAAGTATATATGTATAAATTTTTTGAACAGATTTTTGGTTGTATCAAGGGCACGTGTACTGATGACGACTGCAGTCCACTCGCTGATTTGAATGTGTTGATGGAAGATCATCCAATAAACCCAACGGTTTTAAAATGTTATGATGACTTTACAATTCAACATGTGTCTGAATCTTTAATAACATCGATGAACAAATTGAAAACATGTGGTCTTTCAGCTCAGTTGTGGCTCCAGTACTTCAAATGCATCATAACTGCGTTACAATTTGTGGATGCTGAACGTCTAGGAAATTGGACACTGCATTTACAAAGTCTTCGAGAAATGTTACCACTATTTCAGATGACGGATCATTTTGCCTATGCTAAGTGTGCACAAATCTACGTACAAGACTCGTGTGAATTGAAATGCAATGTAACGCATGTTGAATTTGAATTATACACCATCAAATGCTACTTCACAATCCGAAGATCAGATAAAGTTTGGTCTGGAATTTGGTCAGACATGTCCGTTAAATGTTTGCTTAACCGGTTTTTCGGCACTGATTTGCAACATGGAATTGGAGTAACACTAAGTGCTGTAGCTCGTTACTTATTAGCTATGTCATGAGCGTTCACAGTCATGGAAAGCCTTGAAGTATACCGTGGAATAATATCTTCCACGAGTGAAAATTATGTTGATCTGAATATCAGTCACCGGATAAGAGATCTCATTGATCTCAATAAATTGCTGTCATGGTTGGATACTCATGAACTACTCAAATGTCGTAATGACTTAATGTCTTTAAGTACTGGTATTATGGGTGATGTAAAGACCAACTGCCATATGACTGTGGAAAATGGATTGAAAAGTATGGAAACGATGATGGGAAAAAATGCTAGTACCATGAAATTATCTCAAATGTACAAAGTAAAGCCGTTATCTACAGCTATATTATCTACAGTTGTATTATCTAAGAAATTCAAATTAAACAAAATCGTGTTGCAAAGTATTCAATCAACAGCATTGTTACAAATTTCAAATACCTTGTTAGTGGTGGATGATAACTACATAAAGTAGTTTGGCCTTACAGCGTGCGGTATAAAGACATTTGCCAATTGTATTTAGAGTATCTTAATAAACACTTTCGTACTAATTATGTGGTCATATTTGATGGTTATAGACAAACAGATACTGTAACAAAATCGTATAAAAGGTTAGTAATGTTTTTTCTTGTATAAAATTTCGTAGTATCCTTAATAAAATCCATTTTCTAAATTTGATCCTACTATACTGTAAACTTCAGGATCTGCCAAATTTTTAATGTAATAATTGTTTCGGGACGCCTTTTTCAATTTAAAAAAAACCTCCATTGAGCGTCCAAACAGAACATCATAAGAAGTATCAAATTTCAAATTTTGAGATGTTTAATCGTTATTATTTAAAAATCGTAAAGGTTAACAACGTTGCAAAGTTGAAACTTGTAATGAAGATTTTCGCACTTTTCTGCGCTGTAAATAATGAAACATCGAACAAACTATTGTTGACGATTGTTTAATGAGAAGTCACAAAAAAATTTATAAACGAAATTGAAAATATAAATTCTCTCGATTTTCACTATCAGTTAAAAATAAAGAAAATCGTCCTCAAAACTATTTTTCCACTTATTTTGATCATAATGCGAATTTATTCTAACTATTTCNATTGTCATAGCTACT